GCAGTAAAGTGGACACATGCAGCTGTAGCAGCAGTAATGTGGACACACAGCTGCTGCAGCAGTTTCCTCTGTGAGATGGAGGCAGTATGTGTGCAGCTCTCTGCTCTCTCTGCTGTCTGTGGGGCTCAGGATGCAGATAGGTGAAGCTGCATCAATGGGGGACTTTTCTCCTCCGCTCTCCATCTATCCGGACCGTTGTTGTTTTTTTGTCCTAATCCTGCTACTCCGGAGCTCTTCACCTAACACGCCCCCCTCCCCCCACCCCATAACCCCTCCACCCTCCTCCTATCTTTTCACAGTAGCTCTGCAGGATGTGAGGGAAGAAGGGAAGAAGGTAAGGAGACCTGAGAATCCTGTCTCCGCTTGACTCTTTAGGTTGCTTGATAATCATTTGTATCGATCCCGACGTGAGCAGCTCGTGTGTTTTGGGAGAGCGTTCTAGCATAAATTTCAAACTGCATGAACATTTTCTGATTGTGCATGAGAGGCTGGAATGAGGGCCAGAAACACCTGGATCGATGTTTCCATGTTCCACAGCTGTAGGAAAAACATGCTGACTACCAAGGAGACATCAGATATATTTATATTCCAGACAAAACTGAATATTAATGAAGGTTTTATAACTGCATGAATGAAAGGCATTTATTAGTGTTATTCATAAAAAAAAAATTCCTACACTTTCTTTTACTTTTCAAGCAGTGAAATGTTCTCAGAGGTTTTAATTATTTGCCTAAATTACTTATAGTTACTGCATCAGAACCTTAGTATTCCAAATGATTCAAGCTAAAACGAGATGTTATGTGAAAATTATTCTACGGTTCTCTTGAGTCTCTAGTGGTTGGTTTAAAATTTAAACGTTTAAATCACATTTAATTGAAAATTTCAGCTTATAAATGTAAATAATGAATCTTCTTCCCACACCAAAGTTAGTCATGGAGTTCCTCAGGGTTCAGTGCTTGGACCAATACTCTTTATTTTATATATGCTTTCATTAGGTAAAGTTAGTAAACATCTTGAGATAAATGATTATTGTTATGCTGATGATACTCAGTTATATTTGTTCATGAAACCCAATTAATCCAATCAGTTACTTAGACTATAAGCATGTCTTAAAGACTTAAAAACCTGGATGACCCTTAATTTTCTGCTTTTAAACACATACAAGACAGAGGTTGTGGTTTTTGGACCTGATCTTAAGAATCAATTTTGCAGTCTTTCACTTCCTCTGGATGGCATTAATTAGGCCTCCAGTTCTAATGTTAAAAACCTTGGTGTTTTTTTTAATCAGGATATGTAATTTAACCCTCACATAAAACCATTAATAGGACTGCATTCCTCCACCTGCGTAATATATCTAATATTAGGAACACCTTTTCCAAAAATGGTGCAGAAAAACTGGTCCATACATTTACCGGTATCACATCTAGGTTGGACTATTGCAATTGTTTATTACTTGGGTGTCCAAATACTTCTTTAAAAAGTCTTCAGTTGATCCAAAATGCTGCTGCCAAAATTTTAATGGGAGTATATCTCTCCAGTTTTAGCTTCTCTCCATTGACTCCCTGTCAAATTCAGACTAGAGTTCAAAATTTTACTTCTAACCTACAAATCTCTCAACAACCTACTGGTAGGTCTATCTTATATTACAGATCTTATTGTTCCATACTTTCCTAACAGAGCACTTCGCTCTCAGACTGCAGGTTTACCTGTGGTTTTTAGAGTTTCCAAAAGTAGAATGGAGGCAGATCTTTCAGTTATCAGGCTCCTCTCTTGTGGAACCAACTTCCAGTTTCTGTCCGTGAGGCTCACATCTCGTGTACTTTTAAGATTAGCCTTAAGTGTTTCCTTTTTTTTATAACTCCTATAGTTAGAGTTGACTTGGGTTTCCTGAGGTATCCCTTAGTTATGCTGCTATAGGCTTAGACTTCTGGAGGACAAATTGACCACATTTCCTCACTCTTCTGCTGTCTTTATTTGCTCTACTCTACCTGTTTGTATGGGTAAGTATTTCTTTCCTTAACGTGTTTTTTTGGTCATTCCTCTTATAGAATGTACATCTGGACCTGTCATTCTGTGTTTGTCTATTTCTACTTCCTGTCCTCTCAAACCTCAGCCGGTCAAATCAGATGGCTGCTCATCCTGAGTCTGGTTCTGCTGGAGGTTTCTCCCTGTTAAAAGGGAGTTTTTCCTTTCCACTGTTGTCTTTGTGCTTGCTTAGGATGGGGGACTGTGATTAGATGAAGATCCAACACAATCTGCTGGCTTCCTTAGATAGATAACTTTTACTAATTGGCTTATGTGTGTGAATGTTTTTGTACAGTGCCCTGAAAAGATATACAAATAAACTGAAATGAAATGAACAAACTCTCAGGGATTGTCAGAATGAGCAGCAAAATTTCTGATATAGCCCTGAAGAACCTAACTGACCTACACAAAGTGAGGTCAGTGAAAAAGGTCAGGTAGATTCTGACGGGTCCTGGTCCACTCCATGGTGAGTTCAGGTTGCTTTAGTCTGGATGCAGGTATCTGTGTCCCAGATGTAGAACGAACAGACTGAAAACCTCTCTCAGTAGTGATCAGGCTTTTCAATGAACATTGGTCATTTCTGTACAGTTATTTTAGTGTCTTAATGTCTTGATGCACCTAACTGGTAATCCAACATTTTTCAGTCAGGTCATCTGGACAGTTTCTTTTTTTTTGTGCCGAAACATTTTGCCTTCAGTCCGGAAGGCTTCATCAGTCAAGGAAACACACAACAAAACTGATTCTTCCCCCAACAGCTTACTCCAAAGTGGAACAAACCAGTTCTGCTTGTGCTAAGATGGTCTCTTTGGTACGCCCCCTCCTCCATTGCCGGCCCTCTTCCTTGTTGACAGTCTTGTCAAGCTGGTTGAAAACAACAAAGTCCATGCTCAATAATCCAGGTATCCAGGTGTCCAGATGACCTGACTGAAAAATGTTGGATTGTATACCTGGATTATTGAGCATGGACTTTGTTCTAACTGGTAATATTTTATATACAAACATAAAATTGTAGAAAGTGCAATGACTGAACAAATTTAGATTAATTAAAGAACTGAAATAAATGTAATTGTTCCTAAAATTAAAAGTAACAGTTTTATTGTTTGTTTGTTTTTTAGTCCAAAGTCTCTATGGATGCGTCTATGAGCCCCCCCTGCAATGGTTACCATCAGAACTGTGGAGAACACGAGCTTCCTGAAACTGCAGGTATCTGTCCAACAGAAAGCATGCAGTATTTATAAAATATATTTATAAAATATTTATAGTATCTACAAAAAAAAAAAAAAAAAATCAACAAACCAACAAATGAACCAACAAACAAACAAAAAAAACTAACAAAAAACAACAAACCAACCAACAAACAAACAATCAACAAACCAACAAATAAACCAACAAAAACAACAAACAAACCAACAAACCTGAAATTTGATTCTGGTTTTTGGTCGGTGCTGGTCCAGGATTTTCAGTACACCCACCCCCCTTCTGACACATTTTATTTCTGGAGGCATCCTTCACAGAAAATCATGTTCTTGTGGTCAGGAGCTTCTTGAACGAAGACAGCGCTGGAGAATCAGAAATGAAGAATGTCAGGGTTTATTTTCAAAGAGCACCAACATTTTTATCACTTTTATTGGACTTTTTTCCATTTGCTCTTTATCTGCTCTTTCTACAATTGTTACCTTTATGTGTCTGTGTTCAGGTCTCCATGATGATCCAGGGGAATGTTGGTGAAAGTGAAGACAGTAGCACATGTCAGCTATCATGGAGGTGGAGGCCACAGCAGAACCAGCCTTTGTGGATGTGGACCAGGGCCTGACGCTGGCCGGCGTGGCCTTTCTCTGCCTGCTGCTGATAGCCATGATCATCCGCTGTGCCAAAGTCATCATGGACCCTTACAGCGCCATCCCCACGTCCACATGGGAGGAGCAGCACCTGGATGACTGACACATACTGGACCATTTCACAGCACAGGCCAGAACCAGACAAACCCAGAGAAACAGGAGTTGTTTCTGTTCCTGATCACCTTCAGCTGAAACTCACTGAACAACAGTGGATCCTAATTCTTTAAGAGCTACTTTTGCAGAATGGCACCTGGCTTTGTACCGACTATGTTTAATAGCACAATGTAGTAACAACAACAACAACAACAACAACAACAACAACAACAACAACAACAATTATAATAATAATAGTAATGTGTAAAATTCTTTAGTTTTAATTTTCAATTCTGAAACTTTCTACAGCAGTTGTAATCTATATAATAGATGAAATAATTATTCATAGACACATTTTTTTTTGTCATTACTTTTTATTTTTAAAAGTAGAGAAATGCAACAAAACTACCAAATGAAATAAGAAACATATTGGGCGAACAAAACATACCTTAATTCTGTCTTTCTATAAGGAGCAGTTAGCAGGAAAAGAGACTGGAGGCTTACGGACTGAAATCATTAAACTTTTACATTTCATCTGGCACGCCTTATGTTCATGCCAACAAAACTGGAAATATATTCACACTGTGACCATCTGCAGTTTCCCTTTACACCATCAAAGCTTTAAACCAGGAACAAAACCACCCCCATCTCCACCCCTCAACACTAAATGTCCATGGAGGCCTTTAATGCTCATCGACCCTTTAGCTGAGAAATAGACATTAAAGAGAAGATTTCATTCTGACAGGTTTAATCCAGAGTCAGGCTTTGTTCAGCTCCTCTGATTTGTTCAACTGTTCCCAGAAAGACCCTGAGAGTTGACACGGTCCACGTGTAGCTCAAAAACACACCGGAATGGTTCAGATCCCATTAAAGGCTGTTGTTTAACCTGTGTGAGGGTCCAGATCCACACAAGATAGACTTGTTGAAGGTTGGGTTCTGTTTGGCTTTTGCATCTTTGTAATTGACCACAGCAAATCGGCTCAACTATCTTCCAAGGTCTTTTAATTTGTTAAAAGCGGACTTATCACCCAGGCTGAAACACGTCCAGTTTGTCTTTGTCTGGCTGGTGGGTGAGGCTGATTAAGTCTTTTTATTGCCTTTAGAAGACATTAAGTCAGTAATTAATTGGGTTGCGAGTTACAAGTTGTAAAACAAGGGAGATTTGCAAGTGCTTAGTAACCATTAATGGCCAACTATTATTAGCATTACACGCTAATAATGAACTATTCTGCATTTTATGCAAATAAACATTGCAGAAACATGTTCATAAAAAAAGTTATGATGTTTTCAGTGTGCAACCAACTTACTGAAATAAAATATGTGCAGGTAGACAGTTTATTATTGCAGATACCAGTTATATTTTTTAATCAAGGTTCTGAGCCGTGGACTGGTGAGAAACTCCAGAACAATAAAAATCTCAAAAATCACCTTGAGGAGCAGTGCAGCTGATTATTTGGACCTGAAATGCTAAAACTCTGACTTCCAAGTTCAATTAGACACCACCAAGCCATTAAATCACAAGATTCATATACACTGACCCTGTGGAGTGAGAGTCTGAAGGGTTATAATAATAAAAACCAGTGACCAGAGAGACATTTTAAACTATGCATAACAACTGTCCCATTCCCTCCAACACACAATTTTCATGATGTCAGGGTCTAAAAGCAAAAAGAAGTGGGACAGTCTTGGATTAATTGATCTAATATGTTAAGTTGGTCGGATTCAGTCTGACAGAGAGGAACTGTCGGACACAAAACACGTCAGTGGACACCTGTGGACACCAGTGGACATTTTGAGTCTTCAGGTCCATCTCACATCCTGCGTAATATTCAACTTGAAGGAGGTTCACAAGCAAGGAGGTGTCATTCTGTCAAAACCAGTTCTAAAGACTAAAAGTAAAGGTGTAGCTAAACGTATTGGTTCTTTGGAGGGGGTTACTTTAACTACAGAAGGTCACCTCAGCTAAATACAGACACAAAGTATGGAAGCGTGTGCTTCTTTTACTATAAAGCACATATGCAGATTTTGTAAGTTTTCTAAATAAAGATGACTCACATGTATGTAAATATATGCCAGTATCGGTATAAGACAATCTGAAGCCATGTTCCCTTTACAGCAGCTCGACTCCCAGCATGACTGTGCTCTTTGTCCGACCCCCCCCTTCACACACTCACACTGTAAAACTGGTCTGACCCAGTCCTGGACAGGACCCGTTCTAACACTTGAACACCGTCATGTTTGCCTTGTTCAGCTGGGAGGTTCCAGTTCCTGCTCGTTAAACTTCTCTCCTACAGAAGCAGCACTTATCATGTATGAAAGGATTGACAGCTGCATGTTATAAAGTGCCTAATTCTTATTTTTCCTGAGGATTCATTTAGGAAAATGCTGTGTTCTGACCCAAAAGTCCCTGGAATGTAAATGAAGCATTTGGATGGGAACTTGTCCATCGTCTCTCTGTTGTGCTTGTAAAGGTGGAGGTGAATGTCAGCTGATCTCCACCTGGAGGGGGACAGTGCTTAAATTCTGTTATCGTTTCTCAAAACATTTTTTAATTTTCTGAACAGTAACAAATACTGAACTTTGTTGGGCTACAGACACACAGTGCATGTGCACTGCTACTGGAATAATACCCATGCGTGTGAATTTGATGATGAAACTTTTACGTTTTGCATAAACAGTCAGTAAAACAGTTGCTGCATAAACTGAAGTTTTGTTGAGTCTTTGTGAAAGCTGTTTTCTGACCATTCACACACACAAACACACCTGCATGAACGAAACAATACACACAGTTCACACCGTGCACTGATCTGGGGTCAGATCAAAGGTGAAGAATACACAAGAGAAAATAAATCCGAAGAACTAGTCCTCTGAACATTGTAAGATTATTTCTTTGTGTTGTCATGCAGGAAATAGGAAATCCCAAAAGATTTAAAAACACTAAACTGTGTTTCAGTTCTGTAAAAAGAAAATGTTCAGAGTGGGAAGTTTACAGGAAAGTTTAGGAGCTGTGGAGTTTTCCACCCTGGATATATACAGTATGTATATATATATATATATATATTTTTTTTTTTGTGCAAACAAAGTTAATATTAAACCTGTTTGACATTTAAAAGCTAATTTCTGTGTAAAATCATGGGAAAACACAAAAACAAACGACACTGAACCTTCTTCTTATAATTGAACATAGAACAGCATCTTACATAGTCATCCTCTCCGCCATCACAGACATCTACACCTCCAGATGCAGGAAGAGGGCCACCTGCATCATGAAGGACCCCACTCACCCAGCACACATACTTTTTGCCCCGCTCCCCTCAGGAAGGAGTTTAAGGAGCATTAAGTGTAGAACCACTACACTGAGGAACAGCTTCGACCCTGAGGCTGTTAAGACTCATGAATCTCTAACCAGGACTGTGAAAAAAATCACATCATGTTGCTGCTGATCTGTTTCATGTTGCTGCTGATCTGTTTCATGTTGTTGTGTTCATTCATACTCAGCTGCTCACACAGACTCATGTTCATGCTGCAGTTTGGCGTATTGTTTTTATGCTACTAGTGTATTTTAGTTAACATTTTTCTTAGTTCCTATCTTAGATCTTACTACTGTTTTGCTTTTACATTTTAATACTTTTGTTGAATGTAACTGGGACCCTGCACACAATTTCATTCCACCACACGTACCACATGTGGCGTGTATGACAAATAAAGAACCTTGAATCCTTGAATCTTCAATCAAACTCCACACTTTATTCAAAGGAAAAGCCTGAAAGGTATTTTTTTTTACATACTGTAAAACAAGATGTTAACAGAACACTTGCTTCAAAACTTCTAAAGACAAAAGAAACAAAAAAAAACTTCAGTCTTTGTTGTAAACAAGTTTGTTGTGTCCTGATGCAGCTCAATAATCCAGGTAGAAAAATCTAACAAGGTTAAGTCAGGTCCTCTGGACAGATTCTTCTTTGTTGAAATGTGTTGTCTTCTCAGTCTGAGACCTCCGACTGAAGAAAGGAAGAAGAAAGAAGAATCCGTCCAGAAGACCTGACTTAACCTTGTTAGAACAGTTTGTTGTCATGTTTAATTATACGTCTGTAAAAAATGATCTCAGTCTTAAAAAGGTAAAAACACAAAGATACTGCAGTCGGTCTGTGAGGTGGGAGTTGGGTACATCTTTATAAGTTCCTGTTAATTTTTTTTAACAATCAACGTTGAACATTTTGGTTCAGGGCTGCAGAGCAGGAAGGATGGTTCCCTGACAAGATCCAAACCCAACTCGGAACCCGTCTCCTTCACAGAAACCTGAGACAAAAGAAACCATTCAGTTACATTTAACCACAGTTAATCAAATTATCATATTTTATTAAATCTATCATATTTTTATGACCTCTTATTTTTAATCAAAATTTGTCATATTTTGTTTATTAAATCGGTCATTTTTTTAATCAAATCTGTAATTTTTTTAATCAAATCTGTCATCTTTTAATAAAATTTGTCATATTTTTTCATCCTCCTTAAATCACCACCTCATCATGGTGGAGGAGTTTGTGTGCCTGAAGGATCCTAGGAGCTATGCTGTCGGGGCCAATTGTAATTGCTCCTGGTAGGGTCTCCCAAGGCAGACTGGTTCTAGGTGACAGGTCAGACAAAGAGCGAGTCCTAAAACTCATATGGACAGAAAACAGCGAGGAGCTCAGTGTCCCTTGCCCAGTTGTGAGTTACCGAGGCCCCACCCTGGAGGCGGACCTGGGGGAGGGGCTTGTTGGCGAGTGCCTGGTGACCGGGTTTCTACCCATGGGGCCTAGTTGGGCTCAGCCCGAATAAGCCACATGGATTTGCCTCCCTGTGGGCCCACCACCTGCAGGAGGGGCCACACAAGTTGGGTGCATGACGGCATGGGCAGTGGCTTAAGGTGCCTTGGTGCTCTGACCTTGGCTTTTCAAAGCTGGCTCTTGGGACATGGAACGTGACCTCTCTGGCAGGGAAGGAGCCTGAGCTTGTGCGTGAGTTTGAGAGGTACCGACTAGACATAGTTGGGCTCACTTCAATGCACAGCATGGGCTCTGGAACCAATCTCCTTGAGAGGTTTTGGACTTGATTCCACTCTAAAGTTGCCTATGGTGAGAGGTGCTGATCTGCTGTGGGTCTGCTCAGCCCCCCGACTCGGTACCTGTGTGTTGAGAATTTTCGCCTATAGATGAGAGGGTATCGTCCCTGCGCCTTCAGGTGGGGGGGATGGGCTCTGACTGTTGTTTGTGCTGCCAGGGAAATTTTGGTCAAAGGTTGTGGATGTTTTTATTATTATGGCTGAGAATATTTTTCCCCTCTGCCCTGAAAACAAGGAGCTCCTCTGTTGTCTCCCAAAACACTATCTTATCTCTGCCCATGAACCATATGTTTGTGTAAATGAAGACTGCAGCTAGTTTCAAGGACACCCCCTGAACTTCAATGAACAAGCTGAGAAGGACAAAAGTGGGCAGTTAACGCAGCTCATGGCTTTTTTCTGCGACTGGTTTTCATGCGTATACATCTAAGTATGTTTATGTAACCTGTCCTGAAATGTGACCTTTCAAGTAAAAGTGTCGGTTAAAAATCTTCACCTGCTGAGAGAGTGGTTCTTTTGTGTAATCAATGTCAGAGAATAAGAGAATTTCTCCAACAGTGCCCATGTGCAAAACTGCAGTTCAGAGTATCCAGCCTTCTTGGAGTCCTTAGCAGGGGTGCTGGAAGGTGCTCCAGCTGTGGACTCTTTTATTCTGCTGGGGGGACTTCACTTCTCATGTGGGTAATGAGAGTGTAACCTGGAGGTGCATGATTGGGAGGAACAACCTCTCTGATCTGAATCTGAGTGGCGTTCTGTTGTTGGGACTTCTGTGCTAGTCACAGTCTTTCCACAACAAACACCATGTTCGAACAGAACGGTGTCCATAAGTGCAAGTGGGACTTTGTAGTTGTATCATCTGATCTACGGCTGTTTGTTTTAGACACTTGGGTGAAGTTAGGGAATTAAACTATAAAGTCCATCACACTGTCCACGTATCCATCGGCAAGCAGGCTTCTCCCATAACTCTCTACTGAAGGTAGCATACCTGTGAGATCACTTATCAGTAACTTACACTTTCTTAAAGAGACACCACACAATTACAACTGTTAGATCTTGGAGGAGTCTGTCTGCTGAAAAGCGTGGCACTTTCTTCATGACAGATTTGTGGCCAAACGATGGCAGCAGGGATGCAGTGAAGACTTTGGGGAGAAGAAACCCTGCGGGGATGTAAACTGAAGCGGGAGGGGTTTCCCAGGAGGTCTGCTCCTTAAACTCACCTGTGATTCTGACTTCATCTCCATCATTCAGGAAGGTGCGAGTTTTTCCTCCTCCAACATCGATGCTCTTTGATCCTCTCCAGGACAGCTCCAGCATGGAGCCAAAACTTTCTGGGTTCTGCAGAAACAAACCGAGTCACGTTAAACACCAAATTCATAGATTTCTTTCACAAAGACACTCACAGACCCAAGTTAACCACAGAACAAAACCCTACCAACCAAACAATGCAAAACTCTGAGGCCGTCTACAAGAAGGGACAGAACTGGCTTTGAAGTCTGAGGCTGAAGACATTCAACATCTGCAGGACGATGCTGAGGTCGTTCAACATCTGCAGGACGATGCTGAGGACATTCAACATCTGCAGGACGATGCTGAGGTCGTTCAACATCTGCAGGATGATGCTGAGGTCGTTCAACATCTGCAGGATGATGCTGAGGTCGTTCAACATCTGCAGGACGATGCCAAGGACATTAAACGTAGTGGCCCGCTTAATAAACTTGTTTGTAAGGCCCGTGCTGATGTGGAATCTTGTTCTTGTAAAGTACTGAATAAAATATTAAAGTGAAAATTTATAAAAATAGTAAATAAAGTATTAAAGTAGTAAAACAACTAGTACTTAAGTAGTCAAAAGTATTACAATAACAAAGTATTGAAGTACAGTGTTTCCCTTAGGTTAATTGCTTTGGCAGGGCGCTCATCTCAGATTTTTTGTTGACAGGATGGGGAGCCCTCCTTGGATAACAGTATGTGAAACACTGAAGTAGTAAATAAAGTATTTATATTTCATTCCATCCTGTAAGCCCATCTGTAACTCGTGACATGACTCGTGAGAAAACCAGAACATGGTTGGACCTGACAGACAAACAGGAGGAACAGAAAACTAAGGGTGTCTCACAGAAATCCCAAAACAAGAACCAGGAAGGACACTTAGCCTGGAGACACTCACAGGCCCACTGATGGTCCCAGAAGCAAGGAGGTCTCCTGGTCTGACGTTGCAGCCGTTCACGGTGTGATGGGCGAGCTGCTGCTTCATGGTCCAGTACATGAACTTCAGAAAGACAAGGAGAGACAGAGAGAAAGCCTGATAAAATTAAATGCATATATGTTTTTACTGTAATAAATATTCATCATCAACTCTTCTTCAGGACAAAAACTTCATCCTTATGCTCAATAATCCAGCTAGATAAATCTAACAAGGTTGAGTCAGGTCCTCTGGAAGCATTCTTTTTTTTTTCATTTAGCCTTTATTTATCCAGGTTAGTCTCATTGAGCCACGAGAACTCATTTTTTCAAGAGAGACCTGTTTAGGGAGCACATGGTGGGGGTTAAGGGCCTTGCTCATGGGCCCAGGGTGGGGCGAATGAGGGTGGGGGCAAGTGTGGGTGTTTCACCTACCCCACCCACAATTTTTTTTTTTTTGATGTTGTCGGGGCCGGGGCGTGAACCGGCGATCTTTGGATCACAAGCCCACCTCTCTAACCTCTGCGCCACCACTCCCCCACTCCCCTTTCTTCTTTGTAGAAATGTTTCTTCTTTCATCCAAAAGACTTATTCAGTCTGAGGAGCTGCAACAAACTCAGTCTTATAAGCAGCACCTTCTCATAGTGGATCAACCAGTCCAGAACTAGCTGCTCGCTCACATGTAAAAGGAGGACCACAGCCTAACAATTGATCATTAGTGCCTGATGGCTGCTTGTTATTCACAGAGAGCTGAGTGATACTTGCAATAACAACATGTAAGAGAGTGACACAGTTGGACATGGAGGCCTCCGCCACTGTTTAACGATGGACGTCTCTTCACAAAGATGGCCTCCTTCACTCCTCTCTCAAACCATCGTTCCTCTCTATCAAAGATGTGAACATCTTCATCCCTGAAAGAGTGACCGCTGGCCTGGAGATGACTGTAGACCGCAGAGTCCTGACCTGATGACGTTGCTCTTCTGTGCTGGGCCATCCTGGGCCAACTAGCAAACTGGTTGATCCTCCATGAGAAGGTGCTGCCTGTAAGACTGAGTTTGTTGCAGCTCCTCAGACTGATGAAGTCTTTTGGATGAAAGATGAAACGTTTCAACAAAGAAGAATCCTTCCAGAGGACCTGACTCAACCTTGTTAAACTTTGTCTCTAAGATGCTGATTCTGACCTGGACCCACAGAGACTGAGGATGCTTTCAGAGTCCAGGTCCGAACAAGTTCTCTTTAAAATGGTAAATGGACTGCACACCTTTCTATCTTATCAATATACTCAAAGTCCTTTACAACACAATCTGTGCTCTCATTACCCATTCATACAGTACTCTACTACATCTATACAAAGACTAATCAGAGCTTTATCACATCCATACACTGATGGGACACACATCGGAGGCAATGAGGGGTTCAGTGTCTTGCCCAGGGACACTTCAGCATGTGACTGCTGGTGGAATGGAACTCCCTAACATTGGAGGACGACTGCTCTAACCACTCAGCCACAGCCACTTTGGGGCCACTTAAACCTCAAAGAGAAGAGAATCTTCCTGAGGTTTAGTTTCAGTGACGTATCTCACCTGGAAATTGGACTTGCAGATGTTGACGTGGTTGTCCATGTCACGTCCTTTTAGGACAAACAGAAACACAAATGTTAGCAGCTGGACACATTCAGTCAGTCTGAAATCAGGAGAACCTAGTTCTACCTTTGGAACTGGGTTTGTTGACACTGGTTTGAATGGTTGTGGCAGGTCAGAATCGGTGCATGGCCCAGAAGATAAAGTGCTTTAACTGCACACACTCACTAACATTTGATCAAAGATCAGTATGACCCAGTTGAATCAGAATGTCCTGGTCCGTTTTCCTCCCGTCTCAGTGACCGAGCTACAGCGACCCGGTCAAAAGTTACACAGACACTATATGTGTGTGTGTGTGTGTGTCCTTGTTTATGCTACTTTGTGAGGCCCATTTTTCCAACTTATACTACATTGTGAGGACCAACTGCTCCTTATGGGGCCCAAAGCCCAGGCCCCATAAGAAGAAGTCCCGTTGGTGGGTTAGGGGCTAGGTTTAGGACTAAGGTGTGAATTGAGGATGTGTTAGGTTTAGGGTTAGGTATGTACTGGTCATGGTTAGGCTATAGAAATGAATGAAAAATGAATGGAAGTCAATGCAAAGGCCCCACAAAGATAGCAAAACAAACC